ATATTGATTAATTGCAATGGATATATTTTGCGGGTTTTGGAGATAATAATGATTTATTAATACAATTCCTGTTTCTTTATCCTTAGCTAGGGAAGGATTGGTGCATCCATATATTTCGTGAGAGTATTTATGCGTATCTATTACAGTACCTTGTATACTCCTGGGGTCGATCATCTAGATACTTACCGGGCTCGACGTTGCTTAACTTTGCTATTTGTAACTGGCGAGCCGAGACTAAATTTTGCGTTAGCCTTTAACGTTCACGTTCACATAAATGAATTTGGGATAGACAAAGAATCGGTTTCTTCTCCCCCCATGTAGGGGTTAAATAGTGGAGATAACTAGACACGCTTGTCTTGGAGACGGACATTTATGAATTTCAAACGATGATGTACACACCGAGAACCCAATCCTATCATTCTCAATAATGCAGTGAATTACACAAAAAATAAAAAAGAGAATATGTAAAGAGTTATGATCACTTACGTACTAAACGGATATTTCAACACATATAAAGGCTCCAAATCTAATCCAGATGGAGTGGCTCTCATGCCATGTGTAGCGATAGAAGGTTACTGAATGAGATGAGTTATATGAATATAAGCAGAATCAGATACTGTATGTTTTTAGGATATAATAGATAGGTAACTATTGACCATAGATTTGAAAAGGTTAAAATTGTTGTGTTCTGTAAAGCATCGAAACGGGAGACTTTTCAAAAATTAGCCGTTCTTTCGAGAAGAAACATTCCGGGGTGCAACGTCCTCTTACGAAAGTAATAATTAGAGAATACGGGTATGTAAGTATTAAACCGTATCTTAGCTTTAAAGGTCTGAACTAATAAATGGCGGTCGTCAAAAGATTTGCCTTTTAAAATAACAATAGAATAGTGAAGGTTAAAGTCTCTCTCGTTTTAAATGGATAACATTAGCCTGATCTGTTTAAATTGAATTACTATTGTTGAGCAATATTAGAAAACTGTTCACACAACGATTCTTGGTCCATTATTGCCACCAGCTTAAGGGATAGCGACAAATATCATTGGTCAGGTGTCACACTAAGATAAGCTTAAGGAATGGAGAGACTTGCGTTGAAATATTGTTAATTAATGAGTTTATCAGATCAATGCGATTGAATAGTGAATATATATTGATGCGCGAAACTTAGTGAATCGCTAAGGTGATATTAAAAAATATCTCTGTTTGTCAGATAATCAATAATTTTATTCTTTAAGAAAAAAAACATTGATTAAATGAATTATATATATATATATATATTTTATATATATGTTTTAACACTATATATATATATATATATATTTTAACACCATTATATATATATATGTTTTAACAACAATTATATATATACATGTTTTAACACCATTATATATATATATATTTTTTATTATATATATATATATATAAATATATATAGGTTTTAACACAATTATATATATATATATATATATATATATATATATATATATATATATATGTTTTAACATCCATTATTGTTGAAACTTGACTAATGTATGGAATAATAATACAACACAAAGTGTACTTAGAACAAAAATGTATTGAAATAAGAAGGTGTATACAATATTTACATATAGTCTTTTGTATATTCTTAGGAAGACCGTTCCTGGAGAATGTGTTGACTTAGTCGCAGTCGGGCAGAGTCTCTGGATTGAATCTCTTGATTCCTCCCCTCGTCTTGCCGGTACCAATATGGTCGGTACTCCACTATGCAAATTAGGTGGATCCTACCACAACAATTATATATATATATATATATATATATGTTTTAACACCATTATATATATGTTTTAACACCATTATATATATATATATATATATATATATATATATATATATATATATATATATATATATATATACATGTTTTAACACCATTATGTTTTTAACACCATTTGTCGTAAGCTTGAAACTATTTGTCGTAAGAATCACTGAAACCCTGAGTTATTTAGCTAGAAAAGGAACAGGTTAAAATCGTTTTGGTTCAGCCCCACTTTCAATGGTGACTTGAAAAACATCATTCAGGCTTTCAGTAATGTTAACAACATTCATACTCTAGCTTTTTTTTCTAAGTCCGTTTAAGAAAGGTGAATAGATTTGAAACAATGGAAAAGTAGAGAGGAAAAATGCACCAGGATGTTACAAGATGGAGATGGTTAATCATTTCAACTGACAACTGAAAAGATCAATTACAAAAGATCCAACTCAATCCATAAGACGTTTGGAAGGAGAGAATGAGTTTCAGATATGAAATATCCTTGAAAGAGATATATATATATATATATATATATATATATATATATATATATATATATATAATATTTTAATTTTTATAGTGGGTAGTCTATTTAGCCACCAAAATAGACTACCCACAATGCACCACTGACCCACATATAAATAGCCGAGAAAAAAGCAACACTTGTGGCCTGACGATAGCGTCTAGCATTAAACAGCCTGTCGCCTCTAAGTGTTGACTTTCAATGCTCACTTTTATGTTTACAAACGGTCTATCTCTGATATTGAGCATTTTATCCTATAAATATAGCACACCATAAGAGTATATTTCTTCAAATATATATATATATATATATATATATATATATATATATATATATATATATACGAACTCTCTTTCAATCTTTTATGAGCTTCCGAGCTTTAGCTATAATGGACATGTCATTTTCGTTTATGATCGTTTCATGATGATTCTTCTGTTAAGCGTAGGTATTAATTTTATATTGTTATTACACAAATTAGAGTGCAATACTGTTATAAAATCCACCGAGGATACCAGTCCTATAAGTGTAATCATTGTACTTCAAAGCTTAATTTAAGAAATAAGGAATTTTGTTTTTTATATATATATATATATATATATATATATATATATATATATATATATATACCAGGTGTAAATCTATATATATATATATATATATATATATATATATATATATATATATATATATATATATATATATATTAAAAAAGAAGAGAAGAGAGGTGCCAAACGTTTTTGGTTGTAATGTGGATTTATTTAGAAAAAAACATATTATGCTTTGTTTTTACATAATTTTACGACACGTGTTTCTGGTCTCGCGACCGTCTTCAGGTAAAAGTGGAGATTTCTACATATTATTAAAAATAATTAATTTTTCTTCATGTTCAATGTGAAATATTCTCGATATGAGACATTTCTGTTGGGAAGAGGAATCCGAATTTCTTTTTTAGAATTCTAAAAGAAATTCGGATTAAATAACACATTATATCATATTTTTTGATATATATATATATATATATATATATATATATATATATATATATATATATATATATATAGGTGAAATCAAATTGAAGTAATATATATATATATATATATATATATATTATTACTTCAGATTTGATTTTTTACAAGATACTCTTTTTTGAATAGACGCACTATTCTTCTTTTATTTTAAACAGTACATACTATTTCTGTCGCTTTGCACATTCGTGATATCTCAATATAGAATACTTCTTTTCTGGCACAAATCGTACCTAGCAGCATCTATTTCAAATACGAGAAACCACGAGTTAAGTGAAAACTATAAACAGATTATTAGAACAAACTGTATAAAATTAAAATATCAAATACACGAAATGAGAAATTGTCCTTTGTAAAAGGAAAAAGATGAATCCACCAGTTATATAATAATTGAATGTTGCAATCAGCAATCAAATTATTCTACTTTTTCCTTAGTTTGTTCGTTGGCTCATATTTTACACCCTGTCAAAACCTCACAGATAATCGATTATTCCATTTAGATCACGATGAAATACAGACAACACATATCAGGTTCGATCCGTTAACATCGACGTGGTGTAATGGCTAGTTAGCTTATCTCGCTATAAAAATTAAGACTTAATAGTGACTCTGACGAGGTTCCCCATGCCTTCCTCCTTGTACCACATCTAATCCCCGCTTATAAAATTATTCTAATTCTAGTAAATTAACAATAAATTTTAACGTGTACAAACTATATATCGAAAAAATAAACACCTTTTCCCTGAAAGAATAAAGTTATATAAAAAATAAATATCTGTAACGGTATTGCCTTCAAAATATTTAGATTTCGGCATTAAATGACCCATAAAAGTTGATATGCCTCTAAACAAAATCAACCAAAGCAAAACTTTACTCATAATTCTTCTTCTTCAATCCTGTTACACAAACTATCGAGTACTTTACACATTGCTTCCCATCCATTATATGATTTCTCTTCCTAGTTTTCTTACCTTTTTATTTGATTAAAATGGTTTCATCTCTTTGTTGATGGTCGTTAGCAAAAATTTACTATTGTCGTTTGAAATTCTTAATTTGCCGCATACTAAATGTTATTTTCAGGAGAACACCATATGTTGGCTACTACACCCAGTTCTGTTTCCATGGCGAAATTGTCTAGATTTCTATCTCATAATGGAAGGTAGGGATCGCATATAAATCTATGATTCTTTCCTTCATTTTTAATGTTATTTCTCAAAACGTAAAGTACTTATCTAGTTTCTGAATTATGTCTTTCGTTACTCTGATTTGCCTTCAAGATAAATTCATGATAATAAATGGAGAAATTATTATTTCTAAAACATTTATTATATACATTTGTTTCATACACGGTAGGAATCCTGTTCTAAAGGGCTGAAATCAATTTCATTTAAAACTATGTTCATCGACCCTTTATCATATGAACAGAAACTAAATTGAAGTTATTAGGAAGGGTCTGTTGCGGCGTTAAGCAGGTGCTGTTAACCCCGCAAGCAGAAAAATAATGTAGGGTAATACGATCGAAGCAAGGACAACAAAGGCGAGGATGTAAAAGTTTAAACCAAATTTTATTTAATAATCTGGCAAAAGTATGTACAGATAATTGTTTGCTGGAGTTCGGTCGTGAAGATAGAGAGTGTCAGTTGAAGGAGCGTTGTCAGGTTTCAAAGTGATAGCTCGGAGGTAGGCCGAATGGAACAGTGATGTTCGAGGTCCAGTCGATGCCCGGATGTCGGCACTTTTGTAAAGAGCGCGTCGGCGCTTAGGAAGAGAGAGAGAGAGGATCGACGCGGACGGCGCTGGTGAAGTCTTTTCGTCCTAGGCATGAACGTCGTGCAAGATAGCAGTCTACTAGTTCTAATAAAAGGACATTCGTAATAACGTTGCTAGATTAGTCCTGAAAAGGGCTATCGCAAATCATGTAACCGAGTGTAGTCCTGAAAAGGACTAGTGCATACCATGTAGCTGAGTGTAGACTAGTGCTATCATGTAGCCGGTTGTTGCTGCTGCTACTGAAGTTGGGACGGCCTGCTGCTGCGACTGAAGTCATGTCGGCCTGCTGCTGCTGCTGAAATTGGGTCGGCCTGCTGCTGCTGATGATGTTGGGTCGGCCTGCTGCTGCTGCTGCTGCTAAAGTTGGGTCGGCCTGCTGCTGCTGCTGCTGCTGCTGCTGAAGTTGGGTCGGCCTGCTGCTGCTGCTGAAGTTAGGTCGTCCTGCTGCTGCTGCTGAAGTTTGGTCGGCCTGCTGCTGCAGCTGAAGTTGGGTCGGCTTGTTGCTGCTGCTGCTGCTGCTGAAGTTGGGTCGGCCTGCTGCTCCTGCTGAAGTTGGGTCGGCCTGCTGCTCCTGCTGAAGTTGGGTAGTCCTGCTGCTGCTAAATTTGGCTGCTTCGTGAGGTCAGCGAAGGTGAGAGGGGGAGCTCGTCGCTCTACCCCGAGGCCAAAATCCTCCGAGTGAGAGATATCTGTTGGAAGAAATCGGCTGTGTTTATATAGGCTGAGATCAGCATCGTAGCCGGTTAGCGATATCTTTGGGGTGGTGACAGAAAATTACCTTTTGACTGTACACATGGGTTTCATTCGGACACCATGTATATAAACCAGTTTCTGGTAATATTTTATTAGAAAGCTCCGTTTATATTAATGTTTCGTTTGTTTTGAGTTTTGTGAGTCGTTCTCTGAAAAACGCTGAGTCACTGGAAGTTAACGGCATTCGTTCTGTTTTCCGTGGTGACACTTTTAGACGTTTGAGTAGCCGGCAGTAACTTCCGGTCGGGTGCGATAGGTCTGAGCAAGTATTTTTATCATTTGAATATTGTCAAGTCCAGCATTTCCCAGCCGACAATTTCCTAAGGCTAGGCTTACTGGTCTCTCAGAAATATTCGGTCTATTTGCGTTTTACTGGGAATTGTGAGGTGAGTGCTAGGTTTGCTAAGCAGATTTCGGTTGGTATTATTTTGGTGCCCGACCTATGATGAAACCGAAAATGAACGATCTTCGGCATACCCATCATGTTTGTTTTGCAATTTTTACATTCAGATGTCAATGCAATGCAGACGACAGGCAGAATGGGCCAAAGTTTGGATCAACCAAAATACCAGTGAATATTCACAAGGAGAAAGTTAATAATTTATATACGTGCGTTAATGTAACATATTCATCGACAGCTGATCGTTTGTTTAATAACCAGCAGTGCGTCCCGTCTTATAGCCGGGAATTGTTTTAACTTGTACGTTTTGGTATCCGTATACCGAGTGTAACAGCAATTTTGAAGAAATCATCTCTCAGCAAAATTATTCAATTGTTAGATTAAATTGTTATATCTTAGAAAAGATTAAAGATATCTTACTGGAATTCTCCCAAGTTTTTATAATAATATTAGACTCTACTTTGAACGATAGGAATGTATTTAGTTCTAATTTGAAATGGTGATCCCTTTTGCTGTTGTGACTTTCTAATCAAGTTTCCCTCTCAAATCTTCCCACTTTTAAAACTTATTCACCTTTCTCTTTAATAAACTTTCAACATGGTTCTTTAATAAACTTTCAAGATGGAAGCCAGATTATGAATGTTGATACTATTATTGAAGGTGTGAATGATCATTTTCCTCTCACCATTGCTTAATTGGGAAGACCTAGTAGAGCCGACACAGAATAATTTAAACTTTTCTCTTTCTACCTGCATAACTCAAAGGATTCTTCAACGATTCTTACGACAAATGATATCAACATGGGTAAACGTCTTATTTGAAAACGTGGAAAAAAGAAACACAATTAGTTTAGTGTTTTTTAGGTATTAAAACTTTTAACAGGTAGTCAATTATCCTGGGCTCATACAAGATTTGGCCAATTTTGCAGTTACACCCTATATCTGCCAAACACATCCCTTTAAGCAGAAGGACTGATTGACTGGTTTCAAGTTAATTAATACTTAATGTTATTTTTTTTTCTTATAACATTAACCTGGTGTCGTATATATTTTTAGTCGTTGTTCACATTTCAGTCCTATATTTTGCTCTGATATGAGAGATATGGTAAATTGGTTTGTCAGTTTTAATCCGTATCGTTCAGTATTACCAAATACAGTAATATATACTTGAGTTACCGCTATTTTCCTATTATGAAGTGTTTCTTGTTATGAAGGGCTGAATGTTGACCCTAATGTCGATTTTCATATTTACATAATCTCTATCATTGATATTGAACACTTTAGCCTATAAGTATGCACCTTATTTAGCATGGGAATTATCATAATCTACGATTAATAACCACCTCTTACGCCAATAAAACACACTCAAGATTGACATCGAACTATTTTGTCAAATGAATGTTGATAAATTTATTGCGTTGTTATTGTTAAAACACTGCAGTGTTTATATCTTTCTTAACATCAATATATACATACACACACAGGTATATACGAGTATAGGATTGTTGTATACGGAATAAATTCCAGTAACCAAAAAATACTAATCTTATAAAAGTTTTCAATAGAGAGTAGAGCAGACATAATTATTTATTTGAAAATTATAACATAAACATGCTATAAATACACTACAAAAATAGCCATTTTATTTCAACACTTCTGGTGTCTTCTCAAGCAATGGTGTTGAAAGTGTTTTAAAATGTTCAAATCAACCAAACATCCCTCGCAAAGGGAAACGCTGTTACATAAACTGGAATGACCAATCAAAATACAAGTATATGAGCATTCAAAAAACTGCACAACGAACTTTGGCTATGATAATTATTTAATGCTTTATTGTTAGGGTTAGACTAAAATAGAATTCATTCTAACTAATTAATATTAAATCATACTATAAAATTCAAAATTAAACTTACCAATTTTAAATTATAAATTTAATCTATATTAAGCTTAAAAAATTATAAAATTATTTAAAGAAGAAACTGAGGAAAACTACATATCTTTTGTTATTTATTTATTTTTATTGAAAGGTCAAAAGTTGGAGTAAATGTTAAAATCTAATGTTGCCCTGAGCTCCGTTACAACTTAGATACATTTATAGTGAAGATATGGACAAGGGAGGGTGAAATCCTGCAAAAGACAATACATACGCAATCAAATTATAATACACAAACACGTAGGCATGCAAAAGAGTGACGAGACAGGAAATGGTAAATTGTTTTATTTTCACATTCCATACCTCTTCCCGGATGTCTCGGTTATTTCTCTTGAATATTGAAGTCATAACTCGTTGGTTCTAATCATTGGATCTAACCAACGCTTTTATTCACTGGACCATGTGTCCAGTGACTAGATGCAAAAAGTTCAATACCAGGCTACAGGAGAACCAAAACATGGAGAGTTCAGTTAAAGGGAAATAACTGAGACACCCCGAAGAGGCATGTCACGTGGAACTAGAACAATCTACCCCGGTGTACAAAATAACAGTTCTGTTCGAAATTCCCATGACGTGAAAAGGCCGTGACGTACAATATCCGAAACATTGTGAATATGGCAATGAACATGAGGATAACACTCCGAATAATGTAAATAATGTAAGTAATATTAAAGTAATTTCTGCTTTAATTAACCTGGAAATAGTTGATAATCTATAGAAAATGAATGAATCAATCAATGTACACTGTGCGGCAAAAGTCGCGCACTATGAAGGTTAATTTAATCAAGTTTTAAATATCTAATTTGTTTTGGCATGTCCTGCTGAGCGGCCAGCGAAGACACTAAATCTCATAACTTTAGGGTATTTTTTTTCTCTGGGGGCATTTAAAATCAGTTCTTTATCAGATGCACCCAAGAAATATTGAGGAACTTAAAGAAAGAATTAAATCTCAATGCCGTAAAATGACGTAGGACTCTCTCCAAAGTGTAAATCAACCATGCAGTCACAGAATTGAAATGTGCTTTGAAAAATAAGGTGGATATATTGAACAGCACAAATAATATTTAAATAACTGGTACATAAAATGTTCATGTGTAATTATAATTTTAATGAATAAATGTAATTATAATTTTAATAAATAAATGTAATTATAATTTTAATAAATAAATGTGATTATAATTTTAATAAATAAATGTAATTATAATTTTAGTAAATAAATGTAATTCTAATTTTAATAAATAAATGTAATTCTAATTTTAATAAATAAATGTAATTTAATTTTAACAAATAAATGTAATTTAATTTTAATAAATAAATGTAATTATAATTTTAATAAATAAATGTAATTCTAATTTTAATAAATAAATGTAATTCTAATTTTAATAAATAAATGTAATTCTAATTTTAACAAATAAATGTAATTATAATTTTAACAAATAAATGTAATTATAATTTTAACAAATAAATGTAATTATAATTTTAATAAATAAATGTAATTATAAATTTAATAAATAAATGTAATTATAATTTTAATAGATAATCCACGTGGCGCTAGACTTTTGCTTCATCCTGTATATATTAGTTTATGTGTGCTATTTGCTCAAATTGAAATATTTATCGAATTGAAGTCCTCTTTCTGAAAGCAAACATTTTAAGCCTTTCATTTGAAATCAGAATTAAATAAAATAGCGGTATTGATAATTATTTTTCATGGTTGGCCGTTAAGGGAGACTTTTTATGAAACCTATTCAATAAAATAAACAATAAAGCATGGCAATTGCCTATTCGAATAAAATTAATATGAATGTATATTTTATTATTTTCCAAGGTCTCGAAAATAAAATAAAGATTTATTCTAATAAATGTTCGCTAATAAAACACCTGTTACGTCACACTGGAACTTTAACTGGAAAATTGTACTGAGCACGAATACAGAACTACTTCCGACATGTGAATCTGTCACCTGTGTGGTGGTAGTGAATTTAGGCAAAAGGTAATGGCGTCTTCATCTAGGTAATGCCTTACAATTTCGTTTCACATACGATAGTTACCACAACGGCTTGAACAGGTGTACGCCGTGCCATTGCTGTTGACAGAACCGGGGAGAAAATTTCCCAGATCCGGCACTCAGATTATTTTGAGGTCCCCATGTCGGTAAAGCAGATGCTGCGACAAATAAACTCCATCTAGCGTCTCTTACAAGTCTGTCTGTAAGCGTGTCTGTCTGGTGGGGTTGTAATAGGTTAAATATCATTTTTCTATTAAGGTCTTTATTAGTATTTTTCTGACAATTATATATGCATGTCATTCTAATAATACGACACTTGACATTCCAAAACTTCGTAAGGCCTTTCCACTCATTCGGCATCAAGGACCGACCGTCTTTCAGTCTTAAACACCTAGATACAGTTGTAGATTGTTGCGTGGCAAGGTCGGGCATCTTCATTAGCTTCTTGCAACTGATGAACTGATAAATATCCGATATACGT